CATTGCTACATAAGGCAAAATCGCAAGTTTTACCAATTCGGCACGATATATATATATATAGATATATATATATATATATATATTTATCCACTTCTCCGAGGCTATGGGTCCCACAATTTACACCAGAGGTGGACCCCATCCTATATTAATATATATATATATATATATATATATATATATATATATATATATATATATATATATTTATTTTTTTTTTTATATAAAAATAAATAAATATATATATATATATATATATATATATATATATATATATATATATATATATATATATATATATATATATATATATATATATATATATATATATATATATATATGCAAAACAACCACTCTGAAAGAATAAGAGAAATTCCAAGCGCTTTCGTGACTACTCACATTATCAAGGAACTATGAAAGTGAAGCATCCAAGGAAGCTATATAAAGGGTCCGGCCAGCACCTCACTATCAGATCCCACAACGGTTAAACACGTGACGCGCGGCGAGCCAACTTGGATAGGTCCTTTGCACAACTCACCCCAAGCTATTCTACCCAAGAAAATTTAAAAATTATTTGTCCAGTGTATTATTAAATTCTTCCCAAATTCTATTAATTATAAATGGATCTAATTTATATAAACCAAAGGAAATATTCATATTATTGTCAAAACTGCTTTTTATGAAACAAGATTCAATTATATTCCTGTCGACCATGGACTTGCTTGATACTACTTTCTCAACTTTTTGAAAATCAATTGGATGGTTAAAATCTCTTACATGAATAAATAGAGCATTGGAATCTTGTCCAGTTCTAATGCTATATTTATGTTGTTTTAATCTTAGTTCGAGATTTTTACCAGTTTGACCGTAATAAACTTTATCGCAAATTTTACAAGGAATCTTATAGACACATCCATCAGCATTTTGGGAGGAATTCTTTATCAAAAGTTTTTTTACTGTATCAAGATTTTTGAATACAACTTTAATATTAAAAGTCTTAAGAAGAGAAGGCATATCAACCAAGTTTTCATGGTAAGGGAGAACCAACATATTTTTAGTTGAATAAGGCTGGTTGCCCCATTTTGGATTATAAAAAGTGTTTCTAGCAACTTTAAAAGATTTATCAATTACATTTCTTGGGTATTTTAAATCATTACCTATTTCATAAATTTTGGATATTTCCTCATCTATGAACTCAGGACTACAAATTCGTAAAGCTCTCAAAAACATTGATGAGAAAACAGACAGTTTGACTCTATCTTGATGCGAGGAATAATAGTGGACATAGGAACAGTTATTTGTAGGTCCACTATTATTCCTCGCATCAAGATAGAGTCAAACTGTCTGTTTTCTCATCAATGTTTTTGAGAGCTTTACGAATTTGTAGTCCTGAGTTCATAGATGAGGAAATATCCAAAATTTATGAAATAGGTAATGATTTAAAATACCCAAGAAATGTAATTGATAAATCTTTTAAAGTTGCTAGAAACACTTTTTATAATCCAAAATGGGGCAACCAGCCTTATTCAACTAAAAATATGTTGGTTCTCCCTTACCAGGGAAAATTTGGTTGATATGCCTTCTCTTTTTAAAGACTTTTAATTTAAAGTTGTATTCAAAAATCTTGATACATTTAAAAAAACTTTTGATAAAGAATTCCCCCCAAAATGCTGATTGGTTTGTGTCTATAAGATTCCTTGTAAAATTGCGATTAAAGTTTATTACGGCCCAAACTGGTAAAAAATCTCGAAACTAAGATTAAACAACTAAATTATAGCATTAGAACGGGGACAAGATTCCAATGCTCTATTTATTCATGTAAGAGATTTTAAAACCATCCAATTGATTTTCAAAAAGTTGAAAAAGTAGTATCAAGCAGTCCATGGTCGACAGGAATATAATTAAATTTCTTGTTTCTTTAAAAGCAGTTTTGACAATAATATGAATATTTCCTTTGGTTTTATAAATTAGATCCTTTTATAATTATAGAATTTGGGAAAAATTTTAATAATACACTGGACAAATAATTTTTAAATTTTCTTGGGTAGAATAGCTTGGGGGTGAGTTGTGCAAAGGACCTATCCAATTTGGGGCTCGCCGCGCGGTCACGTGTTTAACCGTTGTGGGATTGATAGTGAGGTGTGGCCCGGACCCCTTATATAGCTTCCTTGGATGCTTCACTTTCATAGTTCCTTGATAATGTGAAGTGGGTCACAAAAGCGCTTGGAATTTCTCTATTCTTTCAGAGTGGTTGTTTTGCATATTTTGAAATCACCTGTTTACTGGATCTTATTGCATTATATATATATATATATATATATATATATATTATATATTTTATATTTATATATATATATATATATATTTATATATAATATTATATATATATTTATATATATATTTATATATATATATTTATATATTAAAATTTCACAATACTGTCAAGAAAGCACCATCACTATCTTTTCACATACTGTACCAGAGTCACTCATATTAATGTATAATTATTTACAGATGTGCTACTTTCAGTATCACCCAGGAATGATAAATTTCGCCACTACGAGATCATGGTTTTGTTTTAAAACGCATGCACCTCCAATAGTGAACATTTAGCTTGTCATTATCTGTTGCATTATTCAATAATGCAGCTTCTTTAAAAGTCACTGTCCAACAGAAAATTATTCTTGCCACCTTAATTATTCTTTATATGGTCCCAAAATACACAAGTTCCTCCTATAATACGGGGAGGTCACTAGTTAACAATCAGTATTATTGCGTCATGTATCTTTAATATTTTTAGTTCACAAAATTTATCATATTATTTCTTGTGGTTTTGTTACGCTCAGAGCATATTACTACATTTGGAACTTGTTTCCCAATAGTCTTGGCTCTTAATTAAAACTTTTTGTCCAGCAGTCTTGATTCTTAAAACTTTTTTTCCCAGTAGTCTTGCTTCTTGTAAATTATTTTCCAGCAATTTTTACTTCTTTAAACTTGTTTTCCAGTAGTCTTGCTTCTTGTAAATTATTTTCCAGCAGTCTTACTTCTTTAAACTTGTTTTCCAGTAGTCTTGCTTTTTGGGTAAATTATTTTCAGCTGTCTTACTTTTTTTTAAACTTTTTTTTCCAGCAGTCTTGCTTCCCTGTAAATTGTTTTCCAGCAGTCTTGCTTCTTGTAAATTGTTTTCCAGCAGTGTTGTTCTTTAAACTTGTTTTCCAGCAGTCTTGCTTCTTTAAACTTGTTTTCCCAGCAGTCTTGCTTCTTTAAACTTGTTTTCCAGCAGTTTTGCTTCTTTTAAACTTGTTTTCCAGCAGTCTTGCTTCTTTAAACTTGTTTTCAGCAGTCTTGCTTCTTTAAACTTGTTTTCCAGCAGTCTTGCTTCTTTAAAACTTGTTTTCCAGCAGTCTTGCTTCTTGAAATTTGTCCAGCAGGCTTACTTCTTGAAACTTCTTTTCTATGAGTTTTGCTTTAAAAATGTATTTTGTTGCTGTTTTCAGAGTGCTCTGCTTCAAGCAATCCCTGCAATGCTGCAAGAGCAGCTTACTTGTCGTTTAAGTGCCTGTATTTGGGTTTTGCCAGCGGTCATGACGACGGTCAGGGTACTGCAAGGATCATACCAGTGCCGCAGCTCCATGCCCGTCCCTTCCTGAGACAATTGAAAAACCACCTACAAGAACAACAGTTTACTCATAGGTAGTCACTTTTAAATTTCACTTGTAGCCTAACTTTTTTTCAGACCGAGGGACACATCTCATTTACGTAGCCTACAGCTTTAAAAAACCAAACATTTCTCATCTATTTTAGCCTAGAGCTTTACAAGATAAACACCTTTCTCACTTAGCATTCTCGAGTTTTACAAACCACAACCGTTTCATCTCTGTAGCTTCCAAGTCTACCACAGACACAAAATATTTATAGTTAACTCTTTTTCTCTGTGTATGTGACACAGGGTGTTCATTAGATGACACGACTGAATAGAACTGGACAATTTATAAAATTATTTACCATGAAAGGCAGAGATTAAATCCTTGGCAACCAGTTAGCTCTACGGATTACCCCCAATGAGAACTGAACCGGTTGATTACCTGATAAACCCAGGTTATTGGTGTTAGCCACACTCAGTCCAACAAGGATGCCACAGCTGAGCTGCCCAGGAAGTGACTTGAGGAAGTTATCATTTTCCCCCTCTCGAAGAAAGCTAAAGGGGGTTGTTCAAGGCTTCATTATTTCCAGTGCTCTGTTTGTAAGGCCCTTCTATGCATAGAGGATATCTCTTAGTGTATTCACTGCACCTGCTTTTCACTGGAAATATTTTACACTGCCCAAAAGCCAAGATCTTGGGCATAATTTCGATTTGCACATTTGGGATCAATCCCTTCAGAAATTTCCAAGTGTAAATTATGATGTATTTTTCTTGTGTATGTTACAGGTTCCTGTACATTCTCATTATCTACAGTTTCGTGTGCCTTGAAGGGGCTCTTAGTGTGCAGCAAAATTCCAGTCTAGAGAGACCAAGTGACCCTTTAAAGGAAACACCATCATTGCTTTGGCTCTCTAGTTATCCAGGCTGTCATTTTCTTTGTTTTTTTTGACAAACATGATTCTTGAATGTGAAATTTTCTGGTATTGTCATTCCTTAGAACCTACTTTCTTTCTAATGAGTAGTTTGAGTTTGTATTGTGGCTTCTTCAAAGGTTGTTTACCTTGCATACCATAGTTAAAAAAACAAATCTTGTTATTACATCATTTTGTAAAGTTCTCGCTTCTTGCTGTTAATTAGGCCTTTTGCTAACAATTTGCATGACTTGTAGTACTTGAATCTACACATATGCTGCTATGTATGATAATTTATGTAACTGTATTTATGTATTCCCGTACCTGAATAAACATGTGCAAACCAAAATTTGTGGAGTACTTACCAATGAAATCTTTACTACGACCAACGTCTTTATCTACACCCGAATATCTAAAGCTTCTTCGGTGTTCATTCCTCCGGCCTCAAAACAAACTCCTCATTGAATTCTGGGTTTTAGATTCTTCCACTTGATGGCAGTGCGATACTTTTTGTGGGTTGGATCTGGTTTAAGTTGCCTTGTGGGCCATAATGAAATGTTTTATGGGTTATATGATTACAGTTGCATATGAAGGAGACATGACGTTAATGTCACGAGTTTGGTAGAAATGGCACAAAAGATGGATGGTATAGTATGGCAGATATGACCCCTATTTCCATGGGTAGTATAGCTGGAGGGAAGACAGTTTTATAACAGAAAAGATTAGGCAAGAAAATTTCTTATCTGGATGGCTGTTATGACAGGTTGGCACAAGCTGATGGTGATGTAGGACAGTTAGATGGCTAATATAAGACAATAAAATGGCTAATGCAAGACAGATGATATAAAACACAAACAAAACGAAAACTATTTTAAACAGTAAACATGATAAAATATGAGTTTTACAGTGCAACAATGATAAAAAGAAAAATTTCCTGTCGGACGAAACAAATGATTGTTTAACTACTGAATGGCAGAGTGGCGCAACATCTGCCTGGGACCACATATACATGAGTACTGAATGTATATATTATATTAATAGGAAACTACTATCGCCCAATTTTATTTTAAAATCTCATTTTATTGCCAATTTTACTTTAAACTTTTTGACCAATCTTATTGTAAACTTTTATTGTTGCCATTTTTTTTTTATATTTAATGCCCAACTTTATTGTTAAACTTTTCAACTTATTATTGCACTATTCTAATCTAGAGTTAATTACACAATCTTATACTTGCCCAATTTTACCAATACTTTATTGCCCAATCTATTTTAAACTTTTTATTATTGCCCTTTTTTATTTGTAAAGTTTAATACCCAATTTTATTATAAACTTTTTATAATTGCCCTATTCTATTTTAGACTTTATCACCCAACTTTATTTTACTTTTCTTAACCTTTTGTTACCAAATTTTTAAGTTTGTATATTCAACTCCACTTTTATATTATCCTGTCTACCATCTCTTTCATATTTCTAACCAAGTCATTGCTTTTTTTATTTTACTATTTTTTATTATTCTTTTGCTACCTAAACTTGTGTATTTTACTTGTCAATTTAAATCTAGTTATACTTTAGTTCTTGTTAACAACTTATATTACACCTTAGTGCAATTACAAGTGAGAGTCTGGCGTATTTTTTAATTTGTATTTTTATATTATTAGCTATACCTAGTCGTACTTTAGCTCATTCTAGCACAAACCCTAGACAATATTAACTTCATTATGTTTATTAGTGACTATACTTATATGACCAAAGTGCTTTAGCTATATACTTGTCCAAACTTCCCACTACTACATATATCAGTACCAGAACTCACCACATAATACGGATATAAATAACCACTATTTAAACCTAAAAGATGAAGGATCCGTCGACCTTGATCTAAACCTCCATAATCTAACACACAATCAAAACTTTTTGGAAAGTAAAATTTCCTTTATTACACGCATCAAAAGCCAGCACTATCCTGAACACTGCTAAATGTCTAAACAGTTTTAACTTACAACATCAGGTCCTTAAACAACACTATTGATGACCTCCTGGCACTCCCTTTTAAGCACTAAGACACCTTCTCCTGCATTTTTTTACTGAGACCTGGCTTAAGCAGGACACAATAGATATCTACCCTCTACCAGGATACACAGTAATCCACAACTGAGACCATACCAAGTTGGGGGGTTGTATTGCAATCTATTACTCTAACCAACTATCTTGTATTTTGCACCACTTGCTTTTTGTTTATGAAATTTGGGGAATACATTTTTGCTAGTTTTTCTGTAAAAAACCTTAAGAGCCTATAAAAATCGGTGCCATTTACCGGATACCCCACACAAACATCCCAAATTTCAGTGAGAAATTAAAAAGGGACTAATAACAAACAGACAAATGAATAAGCACCACCTTCTCTTAGCTGGAGACTTCAACATCAACCTTGGCCTACTAGATGATCAGCCTGTAACTGATTTCATCAACAATATGAACAACACACTTCTCATTACCAACAATAACTAAACCAACCAGGCTCACTGAGACAAGTGCAACCATAATAGACGGACAGGCGGACAGGCGGACATCAACGAATCTTTCAGTGGGCTGCAAAAACAATATGAAGTTTTAACGATGAGAAATTCAATTACTCAGATATGGTAAACACGAGGAAATTAAATCTTCATCAGATTTCAAAACAAAAATTTGGCCACAAAATAGAGCGAAACACCAACGTGAAAGACCTGGGAGTGATCATGTCGGAGGATCTCAACCCTTTAAGGCAATAACATTGTATCAATCGCATCTGCTAGAAAAATGACAGGATGGATAATGGAACCTTCAAAATAGGGAGGCCAAGCCCAGATGCCCCTTTCAGGTCACTTGTTCTATCTAGGCTGGTATTGTGCACACTAACAGCACCTTTCAAGGAGGGGGAAAAATGCTGCTAAAAAATGTACGGGAAAACCCTTCACGGCGCGCATACGGAGATAAAACCTCAATTAGGGAGCGTTTGAGGTTCCAAACCTTTTCCCCCTGGAAGCGGCAGGGGAGTTTAAGATAAGATAAGAAAAGATTTTGTTGGTTTTTTTAAACCCCCGGGGGTTGCCACCCAGGATAACCAAGAAAGTCAGTGGTTCATCGAGGACTGTCTAACTTTTTCATTGGGGTCCTTTTTCTTGTCCCCAGGAGCAACCCACCCCAGTCGATAACACCAGGTACTTTTTTGCTGTGGTTAACGGGACAACAGGTGTAAAAAAAACGTGTCGAATTTTTCCACCCCCCCGGGAATCGAACCGGGGGCCCTCCGTGTGTGGCGGGAGCTTTAGCCCCAGACCCCCGGGGCCACCGAAAATCCTAGGGGAAATAGTACCGAATTTCAAAAAGGAAAACCCTCATACGAAAGAAAAAGCTTGGCAGAGATGCAACCCCCCCCCATGAAAAGCGGGGGTGTCACTGCACGTTAAGAGCCATAAAATGTGTCAGGGGTCCAAGACTGTTCAACGGGCCCCCAGCATACTGGGGGGGATTCCCAACAGACCCCTGGCAGCTTCAAGCTGGCACTGGACAGCCCCTTTAAATGGGGTTCCTGACCACGGGGCTGTGGTCGTACGTTGGTTTGCGTGCGCCAGCAGCAACGCTGGTTATCAGGCCTGATCCCCAGGGGGGCCTGGTAAAGACCGGGCCGCGGGGGGTTGCCCCCGGAACTTCTCCAGGAAACTCAGGGGCATCAACCCCGGGTGGCATTACTACCCCCCCTTAAAAATCAGGGATAATACAACAGCACTACAGACCACTACCCTCCTTCCTCTTAACAAAATTAGTAAATCACGACTCACGAAATCGTAATGCCCGGATTGCAAAGACGGGTGGAGTTTTGAGACTCTTGCCCGGGGTTCAATCCCGGCCGGGGTATGGTTTGTTTGAAATTTGGTCATTACGATTTGTGAGTCATTTTTGGGCAGTAAAGGGGACTTGGCTAGGTTCGTCACGGCCACGTAGTGGGTTTAGTCTGAAAAAAACTTGATTTGTTGTCAAGGGGTGCCTGTGCAAACCCTTCCCTATGGTGTAAAAAATAAGGGGGGCCCTGCTTTATGGCGTTTCACTTTACGGCGTTCCCCCTTCGGTCATTTAAAATTTGCCCAAAAATCGCTATACAGCCCCCCCCCCTGATTTTCAAATACAGTCCCCGCGCCCCCCCTTGTTTGTTTACATTCTTCGTGGCTCAGTAAGCATTTAAGTCTCTCCATTTGTCGGGGAAACTCCAAAATTTCAAATTTTTTTTAAAAGTTATTTCATTTTTTAATATATCTCTGATAATTATACTTATGTATCCTGTATTAAATAAACTTACATACTGGGCTGGATGCAGGTACAATTAAAAATCAGTAGGTGTCTTAGCTCCGAGTCATTTTTAGTAATGATAATAAAAATCTTCGAGTTCATTTAAAGTCGAATTCGTTAAAATCACTTTTTCATTAACCCATCTATGATATTTTTTCAATTTATATAAAAACACGTCAAAACTAAAAAGATGAAAAAATACACCCACAAAGAATAAATAAAATAAATATGAGTTTGTGGTAGCCAGAAAACTTGTACAAGTGACGCCAAGAATAAATTTTCTCTAATTTTAAACATAAGGGAAAATTTGTTCGGGGGGGGTAACTGTGAAAAATTATTCCTTTCGTATGTATGTAAGTTTATTCGGGGGTATACCAAATACAGTTACACAGTTTCATACATAAAAAACATAAGTGTAGGGGAACCTGGATAAACCCAAAAAAAGTCAGAGTGACTTATTTCCATTACCTTCCTCAGAGCATCTTTTTCTAAAAATGATTTTCATGAGAATGGGAGTGTTCTTCTTTATTTATTCTCCCGTATCAATGAGGAAAACCTGTACACAATGTAATTGTAACAAACCAACTTGTACACTTCGTTTACAAAATTTCCCCTTTGCCGGTTTATTTCAAAAACTCTGCCCCTTTATCTCTCATGCACTCATTTTTCTCTCTTTATTCGTTTTATCTATTTACTTACTCCGACCCTACATTAAGACTAAAATATTTAAGGTAAATAATGATTTTGAACTGATATAATTTTTTTGCTCGGGGATGTTTTTAAAGTAATAGAATTTATGTGTAGGGGGTTGGCCCGGGTTATGGTACCCCGGCCTAACTCCATACATACCACATGATTTTTTACAATAAAACTACCATTCCCCCTATATTTTAAGGTAAGTAACGAGAAAACTGTATATACTTTTTTATCGTCTGGGTGCTTAAATGAATAGAATTTATGTGTAGGGGGGTTGGCCGGTATGGTAGCTGGTGATACCATACATACCACATTGATTTCTTACAATAAATACTACTTGCTACCCTAGATTAAGCTATAAATTTTTTTAAGGTAAGTAATGAGTGCATTGTGTGTATTGATTTTTTATTTTTTTTTGATCCTGGTTTATTGCAAACTTAATTATGTTAGTGTAATTTGTTATCTAGTGTTTGTATGCATTTTAAAAGGGGAAAAAAAAAAGGGTTTGGGT